AGGCAATCCTGGGAGGCATTCCTGGAAAGGCATTCTGGAGGCATTCCTGGGAGGCATTCCTGGGAGGCAATCCTGGGAGGCAATCCTGGGGGACATTCCTGGGAGGCATTCCTGGGAGGCATTCCTGGGAGGCATTCCTGGGAGGCAATCCTGGGAGGCAATCCTGGGAGGCATTCCTGGGAGGCATTCCTGGGAGGCATTCCTGGGAGGCATTCCTGGGAGGCAATCCTGGGAGGCAATCCTGGGAGGCATTCCTGGGAGGCATTCCTGGGAGGCAATCCTGGGAGGCATTCCTGGGAGACATTCCTGGGAGGCATTCCTGGGAGGCATTCCTGGGAGGCAATCCTGGGAGGCAATCCTGGGAGGCATTCCTGGGAGGCATTCCTGGGAGGCATTCCTGGGAGGCAATCCTGGGGACATTCCTGGGAGGCATTCCTGGGAGGCATTCCTTGGAGGCATTCCTGGGAGGCATTCCTGGGAGGCATTCCTGGGAGGCATTCCTAGGAGGCATTCCTAGGAGGCATTCCTGGGAGGAATTCCTGGAAGGTATTCCTGGGAGGCATTCCTGGGAGACATTCCTGGGAGGCATTCCTGGGAGACATTCCTGGGAGGCATTCCTGGGAGGCATTCCTGGGAGGCATTCTTGGGAGGCAATCCTGGGAGGCATTTCTGGGAGGCATTCCAGGGAGGCATTCCTGGGAGACATTCCTGGGAGGCATTCCTGGGAGACATTCATGGGAGACATTCCTGGGAGGCATTCCTGGGAGGCATTCCTGGGAGGCATTCCTGGGAGGCATTCCTGGGAGGCAATCCTGGGAGGCAATCATGGGGGACATTCCTGCGAGGCATTCCTGGGAGGCATTCCTGGGAGGCATTCCTGGGAGGCATTCCTGGGAGGCATTCATAGAAGGCATTCCTGGGAGACATTCCTGGGAGGCATTCCTGGGAGGCATTCCTGGGAGGCATTCTTGGGAGGCATTCCTGGGAAGCATTTCTGGGAGGCATTCCAGGGAGGCATTCCTGGGAGACATTCTTGGGAGGCATTCCTGGGAGGCATTCCTGGGAGACATTCCTTGGAGGCATTCCTGGGAGACATTCCTGGAAGGCATTCCTGGGAGGCATTCCTGGGAGGCATTCCTGGGAGACATTCCTGGGAGGCATTCCTGGGAGACATTCCTGGGAGGCATTCCTGGGAAGCATTCCTGGGAGGCATTCCTGGGAGACATTTCTGGGAGGCATTCCTGGGAGGCATTCCTGGGAGGCATTCCTGGAAGGCATTCCTGGAAGGCATTCCTGGAAGGCATTCCTGGGAAGCATTCCTGGGAGGCATTCCTGGGAGGCAATCCTGGGAGGCAATCCTGGGAGGCATTCCTGGGAGGCATTCCTGGGAGGCAATCCTGGGAGACATTCCTGGGAGGCATTCCTGGGAAGCATTCCTGGGAGGCATTCCTGGGAGACATTTCTGGGAGGCATTCCTGGGAGGCATTCCTGGGAGGCATTCCTGGAAGGCATTCCTGGAAGGCATTCCTGGAAGGCATTCCTGGGAAGCATTCCTGGGAGGCATTCCTGGGAGGCAATCCTGGGAGGCAATCCTGGGAGGCATTCCTGGGAGGCATTCCTGGGAGGCAATCCTGGGAGGCATTCCTGGGAGACATTCCTGGGAGGCATTCCTGGGAGGCATTCCTGGGAGGCAATCCTGGGAGGCAATCCTGGGAGGCATTCCTGGGAGGCATTCCTGGGAGGCATTCCTGGGAGGCAATCCTGGGGACATTCCTAGGAGGCATTCCTGGGAGGCATTCCTTGGAGGCATTCCTGGGAGGCATTCCTGGGAGGCATTCCTGGGAGGCATTCTAGGAGCATTCCTAGGAGGCATTCCTGGAGGAATTCCTGGAAGGTATTCCTGGGAGGCATTCCGGGAGACATTCCTGGGAGGCATTCCTGGGAGACATTCCTGGGAGGCATTCCTGGAGGCATTCCTGGGAGGCATTCTTGGGAGGCAATCTGGGAGGCATTTCTGGGAGGCATTCCAGGGAGGCATTCCTCGGAGACATTCCTGGGAGGCATTCCTGGAGAGACATTCATGGGAGACATTCCTGGGAGGCATTCCTGGGAGGCATTCCTGGGAGGCATTCCTGGGAGGCATTCTGGGAGGCAATCCTGGGAGGCAATCATGGGGGACATTCCTGCGAGGCATTCCTGGGAGGCATTCCTGGGAGGCATTCCTGGGAGGCATTCCTGGGAGGCATTCATAGAAGGCATTCCTGGGAGACATTCCTGGGAGGCATTCCTGGAGGGCATTCCGGGAGGCATTCTTGGGAGGCATTCCTGGGAAGCATTTCTGGGAGGCATTCCAGGGAGGCATTCCTGGGAGACATTCTTGGGAGGCATTCCTGGGAGGCATTCCTGGAGACATTCCTTGGGGCATTCCTGGGAGACATTCCTGGGAGGCATTCCTGGGAGACATTCCTGGGAGGCATTCCTGGGAAGCATTCCTGGGAGGCATTCCTGGGAGACATTTCTGGGAGGCATTCCTGGGAGGCATTCCTGGGAGGCATTCCTGGAAGGCATTCCTGGAAGGCATTCCTGGAAGGCATTCCTGGGAAGCATTCCTGGGAGGCATTCCTGTGAGGCATTCCTGGGAGGCATTCCTGGGAGGCATTCCTGGGAGGCATTCATGGGAGGCATTCCTTGGAGACATTCCTGGGAGGCATTCATGGGAGGCATTCCTGGCAGGCATTCCTGGGAGACATTCCTGGGAGGCATTCCTTGGAGGCATTCCTGGGAGGCATTCCTGGGAGGCATTCCTGGGACGCATTCCTGGGAGACATTCCTGGGACGCATTCCTGGGAGACATTCCTGGGAGGCATTCCTGGGAGGCATTCTTGGGAGGCATTCCTTGGAGGCATTCCTGGGAGGCATTCCTGGCAGGCATTCCTAGGAGGCATTCCTGGTAGGCATTCCTGGGAGACATTCATGGGAGGCATTCCTAGGAGGCATTCCTGGGAGGCATTCCTAGGAGGCATTCCTGGGAGACATTCATGGGAGGCATTCCTAGGAGGCATTCCTGGGAGACATTCCTTTGAGGCATTCCTAGGGTGTACTCCTTGGAGGTACTTCTAGGGTTCAACCCTGGGAGGTACTTCTAGGGTGTACTTCTAGAAGGCACTTCAAATGTGCACTTCTGGCAGGAACTCCATGGAGGTAGATTGGTGCACTTCTGGCAGGCATTCTTGGGAGGTACTTCTAGGGTGCACTCCTGGGAGACACTTCTAGTGTGCACTCCTGGGAGGGAGTCCAGGGAGGCCATCCTGGGAGGTATTTCTAGCGTGCTCTCCTTTGAGGTACTTCTAGTGTGCATTACTTCTAGGTACTCTCAGTTTGCACTCCTGGGAGGGATTTATAGTGTGCACTCCTTGGAGGTACTTCTAGTGTGCACTCCTGCAAGATACTTTTAGTATGCACTTCTGGAAGGCTCTTTTGGGAGGCAATTCTGGGAAGCTCTCTTGGGAGGTACTTTTTGGAAGCACCTCTGAGAGGCACTCCTGGGAGGCACTCATCGGAGGCACTCGTGATACGTTCTTCTAGTGTGCGCTTCTTGGAGGCACTCCTTTGAGGTACTCCTAGGGTGCACTCCTGGGAGGCACTTGAGGGAGGCACTCCTGGTATCAGTTCTGGGAGGCACTTCTGGGAGTCACTTCTAGGGTGCACTTCTGAGAGTCATTCCTAGGGAGTGCTTTTGGGAGGCACCTCTTGAAGGTATTCCTGAGAGGCACTCCTGGGAGGTACTCCTAGGGTGCACTTCTGAGAGTCATTCCTAGGGCGTACTTTTGGGAGGCACCTCTTGAAGGTATTCCTGGGAGGCACTCCTGGGAGGTACTCCGAGGGTGCACTTCTGGGAGACACTCGTGGAAAGCACTCCTGGGAGGTACTCCTAGGATGAACTTTTGGGAGGCACTCCAGGGAGAAACTCCAGGGAATCACTCCAGTTAGACACTCCAGAGAGGCACTTTTGGTAAGCTCTCGCGGAGGCACCTCTGAGAGGTACTCCTGGGAGGCACTCCTTGGAGGTACTCCTAGGGTGCAATTCTGGGAGGCACTCCAAGGAGGCACTCATGTGAAGCACTCCTGGGAAACACTCCTGGGAAGCACTCCTTGGAGGCACTCCTGGGAGTCACTCCAGGGAGGCACTTCTGAGAGGCACTCATGGGCCCAAGACTGTTCAACTGCCTCCCAACATACATAAAGGGGATTACCAATAGACCCATGTGTGTCTTCAAGAAGGTGCTGGACAGGCACCTAAAATTAGTACCTGATCAGCCAGGTTATGATTCGTACTTCGGTTTACGTGGGGCCAGCAGTAACCTGGTTGATCAGACCCTGATCCACCCCGAGGCCTGGTCTCAGACCGGCCGTAGGGGTGTTGGCCCCCGAAGCGCTTTCCAAGTAAACTACAGGATTTCACTACAGGGAGACACCCAAGGGAGGCCCTCCTAGGAAGCACTCCTGGGAGGCACTCCTGGGTGGCACTCTTGGGAGGTACTCCTGAGAGGCACTCCTGGGAGGAACTGGTGAAGAACTGGCAAAAAACAGCATATTCTGTAAGGTTTGAAGACATTGTTAAATATTTAAATATTAAACAGAAACACTGTAACTTAAACCGGAAATCAGGAGAAGTTTCAGGGGCTCCCTCAACTATGAATGAAATTCATAACAGTCATGAAAAAAAAAACTTGAGTGGGAAAGTGAGAAAGTGAGAGCTTCAGGACATGGTTCATGAGTAAACAAAAATCAGACTGTATTTACCAGCATAAAAGTAAGTTGTAGGGAATTTAGTGTGATGAACATTAGTGAAAATTAAGAACAGAGTGGAATGCCTGCGGAACACCACTGCCAACTTTTCGGTAAGGATAAACTTGAAAATTTTGAAGATAATAGCAACGAAGAAAAGCTGTTTTAAAGACTGAGTGAAGATTTACCAAATAGTTCAATAGGTCACTCACACTTCAGTCACGGTATCCCAGTTTTGGAGGAGGAAGGACCAGGCTGCATCCTGTCCTGGGTCGCTCGCCGCCATGGAGCTGTACACTTCGAAAGCGTCGCTTTCTCTTAACTTCACTTCCGAAGAGAAGGTGATGTACAGATATCTGAGAGAGATAGTAACATCCTTAATTTATTATATATAAAACCTTCGAACTGCACGAGGGTTGAAGCAGCGTTTCACTCATATGCCACCAGCAGTATGAGTCACAACAGAGCTCACTATAATCCCTTCTTTCAGGGAATAAAGTAATTTTCTGTGGTGACTGGGGAGAACAAATTGTTAAGTAGTGTCAAGATACGTAATGAAAGCAAGCCTTTGTTTTAGACGAATTTTTGCTGAGCATTATCAATTCTAGAGTAAATAAGTCGAGGCTCTGTTTAAATTTCTAGACTCAGATATAAAATACACAAACATGAAATATTACAAACGGTAACTGAAAATAAACCAGTGAAGAAGTAGGACATAAACTGACAATGAATCAAAGCTAAAACACAAGTACATCCTAGAGATTTAGAGCAGCCAGTGATATGGTAATCTGATCTGAACCCTCCAGTGTGATGTAAACAGAATAGATACAGAAGAAAGAAGCAGAAGAATCGGTCCTGTGCCTTAATAAGGAGCGCATGACACCGGCGCAGATCCGAGTGAAATATTAATGTAAGAGTGAACCCAGTTGGCTGATATCTTAGACACTTAGAGGTGACGAGTAGACAGAGAAGAAGCACCGCTTCCAGAATGGCAAAGTTACATATACATGAGGCTAATTTCTACCATAACAAAACGTAAAAAGTGAAGAAGAATAGTTCATAGAATTACTGCCAAATCCCATAAGGTTTCATTGCCTTGCTCAAAGCATTCGGGCTGTGGGAGAATAACACACACAGCAGTTACTATCATGACGTGGTCCAGTCGCTCGATGAGCTGAAGACTTTAAATTAAAGATAGACGAGAAAAACAAACACAATAAACGCACAGTGGAATAAATACTCACGACTGTCAGCGAGCCGGGAAGTCAAGTGGCTACCTGAGATTTATAGCTCAGCAAATCACCTACTAAGCCAGAGTTTGTAGTGTGAGAGGGTGGTGGGCAGCACTAAAGTCAACAATCCTCCGAAACAAGCGCTTCAACGCTTAAACGACCAGCACCACAGCCATACTCACATACACACAAAATTATATACATATAAATGAACTTTTACTTCATCAATGTGTTCAGCTATAGTTCCTGGGTATAATGAAAGTAATAATCATCAGCTGCATGACCTCTTGGGCAGATGGAGGTACATTTTCTAAATCTCATAAGGTAGTTGAGCTGCAGCTCTCTTTACTGTTCAGGGTTTAAAAATCCGTATATATATGTTATGATACTAGTGAGTATCTCTTACAGAAGACTGCGATTATGGAATATGGAAAGTATCTTTCTCACATCACGCAGCAACTGAAAAATATACAGTTATCTTTACATTTTGCCACATTGATTTGGCAACAGTTATTTTTATATGCTGAGATCAGCAGTGAGTTGACTAGCTTTGATTTAGAAGAGATTCTATTTTCCGTTGTGGTAACCGTTTTCTCTGCTATTCAGAGAAGTATTATGAATAGAAAACTGTAAATTTATACCTCACCTCGTATCATGCTTCTTGAGTGCTTTGAGGAACAGGAGGCTGTGGTTACCTGGAGTTTACCTGGAGAGAGTTCAGGGGGTCAACGCCCCCGCGGCCCGGTCTGAGACCAGGCCTCCTGGTGGATCAGAGCCTGATCAACCAGGCTGTTGCTGCTGGCTGCACGCAAACCAACATACGAGCCACAGCCCGGCTGATCCGGAACTGACTTTAGGTGCTTGTCCAGTGCCAGCTTGAAGACTGCCAGGGGTCTGTTGGTAATCCCCCTTATGTGTGCTGGGAGGCAGTTGAACAGTCTCGGGCCCCTGACACTTATTGTATGGTCTCTTAACGTGCTAGTGACACCCCTGCTTTTCATTGGGGGGATGGTGCATCGTCTGCCAAGTCTTTTGCTTTCGTAGTGGGTGATTTTCGTGTGCAAGTTCGGTACTAGTCCCTCTAGGATTTTCCAGGTGTATATAATCATGTATCTCTCCCTCCTGCGTTCCAGGGAATACAGGTTTAGGAACCTCAAGCGCTCCCAATAATTGAGGTGTTTTATCTCCGTTATGCGCGCCGTGAAAGTTCTCTGTACATTTTCTAGGTCGGCAATTTCACCTGCCTTGAAAGGTGCTGTTAGTGTGCAGCAATATTCCAGCCTAGATAGAACAAGTGACCTGAAGAGTGTCGTCATCATGGGATATATGTAACCTATCCTCTGCATCACACACATTCTTTCACTGCTGAAAATACAGCGAAATAATGGGTGACTGATGAAGATATCTTTATCAGAGAAACTTAACTGTTCGCGCAGTAGAATTTTTTTATCGCATGTATCTTATATTTATATTTTTTTCCGTTGTAATATGTTATAATTATTTATATTTTTTGATTGATAGAGGACAACCTAACCTAACCCAGAAATTTGCTGCAAACCATATGTAGGAACTCTTTATAGATTTTTATGGGAGCTAAGAGGATGTGTTGATGTGTGTTGCTTGTCTCGAATGATGCAGTGGTCTATACACATCCAGGTTCCTCAGCAGAGGCTCTAACTTAGCAACCCTCAAGGAAGGTTCCTTGATGTTGTGAGGGGCTCTTGATTTAGGAAATTGGATCTGTGCTCCAGTTCCCGAATTAAGCCTGAATACCTTCCACATCCCCCCCCCCCCCAGGCGCTGTATAATCCCCGGTTTAGCGCTTCCCCTTGATTATAATAATAATAATAATAATCTAACTTAGCAAACAAACTGAGGTTTCCCATTCCATTGGAATTAAAAAACTTTTATACATCAGCATTTAAAGTCTTTTAAACTTACTTTGAACTTATTGTTCGTTTAGCATAATAGACTTCCAACTGGTTGTCTGGGATTGTTTTATAAACCAAACCGAGAGAGAAAAAAACAGAAATAAATGCATACAAGCAAGTGCAGAAAAGAATAAATACTCATACACTGCAACATATAATGTAATATGCATTAAAACTGGTATGAGTGATATTAAAAACCTTTCCAAAGTTGTATCTCATTATTAAACTGATGGAGTATTACCATCTCTTCATTGCATCATCGGCTGGTAAAAGAGAGTTGAATATTTCCTCTAGTTATCAGATTTGCTACAATAAGCCATTTTTGTATTAGCTCCACTCATTACCAACTCCTTTAGTAAGACTTACCCAGCCTTGACCCAGGGGTCTTTGCTGCAGCTGAGTGCCAGTATAATCTGGTCCTTGTGTTTGTCATCTTTGGTCTGGAAATATCGTTGCCAGGCAAACTGCCACTCCTTCTTTCCGCCGTTGGCAATGGCTGTGCAATATACGATCCCCCTCACCTCATGTGTCACACTTCTGCAAATATCAAAAAGAATATTGTAACAAAATCCTAAAGCTATTTTTTTAAGAAAAATATTACATTACAGAGCAGGCCTGGTCACAGACCGGGCCGCGGGGGCGTTGACCCCCGAAACTCTCTCCAGGTAAACTCCAGGTAAACAGGAGGCTGAACCTTTTACAGACTTCACCTAAGCCAATCTAACTCTTTTAAGATGTATAACAACAGTAACAACCGCTGGTTATAATGTGGGTGTTGGTGTACAGAATATTATGCACAACAATATATATCCTAGTAATAATTTACATGAGATTAACTAAGCTATATATGGCTATTCACGTCTATCATCTAAGACTGAGTCTTTAAGTTGCTATTAGTGAATAAAATACTGATAGTCACAGTCTCAGATTAGTGACAAACTATTTCATAATTAAAAGTAATTCAAAACCCCAGGAAAAAAAGACGAGAGGACAGCTGCAACTTGTTAGGAATACAAAAAAAGTTGCTAAGTTATAAATACTTTCTTTTCATCTTTAATGTACAATAAACAGCAGAAGTTCTTGTGTTTAAAACTATTAAGAGTATGTAAATTTAATTAATAAATATTTTTTTTATTAAATAACGTAGGTATTTCTTTAAAATATATGGAAACAAGATACAAATTTAACCCTAAACTCATAGAAGCAGGTTGGTGCCCAGTGAGTGACTTGCACCAGAGACTGGGACACCAAAGACAGACAATGGTTATAAATGACCATAATTTTTAAAGGGGTGGACCAGTAAGCCAGCGGAAGGCCTCGGTCAGATGACCAAAAGCTCCAAAAAGGCGGGTCATCATCTGACTAAGACCCGCGTCAGGAAACATTTGTCCTGTTTCCTGACGAACCTTACATAACTAACCTAACTGGGACACCATGAAGTTATCTTGCAACAGTATCCTTTATGGGGTCGCAGCTTGACAGACACGCACTGTGATGTTGCTTAAAATAGTAAGATTATGTGTGAAAAAGTGATTAGTTACGTTACTCAAAGGACTCAAGAAGTAGAGATAGTCCGAAGGCTGACTGCAGCCGAATCCGTGATATATGTACGCTCAGCAACGAACACTTTCACTTAGACCACAAGAACAGCTGAAGCCTTGAGACAAACATTCTAAGCCAAGCGGGAAGGATTTAAGGAAATCTCACTTATAGTTGATAAGTTTCTATATGTATGTGATGACCATTATTAATAGCTGGTTTATATAGTTGATAAGTTTCTATATATATGTGTGATGACCATTATTAATAGCTGGTTTATATAGTTGATAAGTTTCTATATATATGTGTGATGACCATTATTAATAGCTGGTTTATATAGTTGATAAGTTTCTATATATATGTGATGACCATTATTAATAGCTGGTTTATATAGTTGGTAAGTTTCTATATATATGTGTGATGACCATTATTAATAGCTGGTTTATATAGTTGATAAGTTTCTATATATATGTGTGATGACCATTATTAATAGCTGGTTTATATAGTTGATAAGTTTCTATATATATGTGATGACCATTATTAATAGCTGGTTTGTATAGCTCATAAGTTTCTATATGTATGTGATGACCATTATTAATAGCTGGTTTATATAAAAGAAACTAAAACTCAATTATGATTTCTATTAAAGTGTTCGAAGTCCAAAACAAATTCTGAGGCAAACCTCCTGTTAACTCTTATTAAAAACGCTGCATTTGAAGTCAAAAAAATTTCATTAATAAAATACATGCTTTATTCTAATTTTAGCAATACTTACAGCCTGCACATAAATATGGCAATTTGGACAAATTAAGACCTCATCTAAACTTTTAATAACATTAACTGATCCTACCTAATTTTATTCTGTAACATTCTGTTAACAAAGTAAGTAGAACGATTTCCATCAACATCCAATTATTTCTGTAAAAAAAGAGCACCTGGGTTAAGTAAAGTCCAACAATGTTTGAACAATAGCGAAGGAAAGAGGGTAACTGTTGTGATTATATCAAGTGTTTGGCTTAGAATTTTTCAAGAACAGTTTATCCCCCTAAACTCTGGTTTATTTAATAATATACCAGAGAACATGGATCTGTCCAGGCGGACATCCACCAGATCTTTAAATGGGCCGCAGAAAACGATATGAAATTCAATGAACAGAAATTTCAATTGCTGTGATATGGAGAACTTTAGGAAATTAAAACTATATCGGAGTATAAAACATATTCCAATCTCACAATAGAGCGAAAAACTAATGTGAAGGACGTGGGAGTGATAATGTCAGAGGGTCTCACTTTCAAAGACCACAATAATGTATCTACCGCATCTGCTATAAAAATGATAGGATGGATAATGAGGACCTTGTAAGCTAGGAATGCCAAGCCCATGATGACTCTATACAGATCGCTTGTTATATCTAGGCTGGAATATTGCTGCACACTAACAGCGCCTTTCAAGGCAGGTGAAATTGCTGACCTGGAAAATGTACAGAGAACCTTCACGGCACACATAGGTGCGATAAAACACCTTAATTACTGGGAACGGTTGAAGTTTCTTGGTTTGTACTCCTTGGAACGCAGGTGACAAAGATACATGAAAATCTACATTTGGAAAATCCTAGAGGAATTAGTTCCAAATTTGCACACGAGAATCACTCCTTACGAAAGCAAAAGACTCGGCAAACGGTGCAACATCCTCCCAATGAAAAGCAGGGGCGATACGAGCACGCTAAGAGTCAACGCAATAAGTGTCAAGGGCCAAAGACTGTTCAACTGCAACTCAGTATACATACGGGGGATTACCAATAGACCCCTGTCTGTCTTTAAGAAGGCCCTGGACAGGCATCTAAAGTCAGTACCTGACAAGCCGGGATGTGGATCGTGTGTCAGTCTACGTTCGACCAGCAGTAACGGCCTGGTTGATCAGGCCCTGATGCACCGAGAGGCCAGATCACAGACCGGTCCGCGGGGGGCATTGATCCCCGTAACCCTCTCCAAGTATACAGATATTAGAAGGAAATTTCAGTTGCAGTTATTCGATTAGAAATAATAACTAAGAATTACATAGCAGTAGGAAATGCCTAATTCCTAGCTATTATTTCCAACTGAATAACTGTAACTATCATTTCCTTAGGAACTGACAGATCTATGTTCTCTAGAATATTATTAAGTGAAACATAGTGTTTTGTAGGCTATTTATTATTCTTAAATATTCCAACCCAAGCATTCGTTACCGTCAAGACAATTACGTTGTTTTCTTTGGTAATGTTGACTCCGTATCCCTAGTTTGCTAACTACAATAGTCGACTGACACACGGATATAAGATGTCTTACCACTTATTAATAAGATCACAAAATACGTTAAACCAATTTGGAAGCTTACCAGTGAATCTCGCTCTGCAGGCAAGAAGCTGTAAATTCTGCATTTTTTTGTAACTATGCACGACTATGTCTGTTCCTCAAAAAACAAAAAAGCTTTAAAAGATTTTTCCAAGATTTAAAAGCAAAAAATCTTAGTTAAAAAAATCAATAGCAGGACTCGTACCTGCAAATTCTGTAAGATAGTACACAGTATTTTATCCACAAAGTCAGACTCCAGATAAGTATGGGCGCCTAGTCGTAACTAGACTGTGTTTTTCCCATACAACGGAGCACCAGGATTGTTTACAGAATTATTTCATCAAATCCTGTCACATGCAGTGATCAACGAAAGACATTTGAAATGCTTAACAATTCTCAGACAAACGAGATTATTTACAAACATTGTCTCTATATCCACGCAGGACTCGAACCTGTGAACTCTGCAACAGAGCACACGGTACTTTAACCACAACGCCTGATTGTGATTTGTTAAGCATTTCAAATCTCTTTCGTTGTTCGTTGCATGTGGCAGGATTTCATGAGACAACTGAAAACAAACCTGGTAGTTCAGGGTTTGGGGAAACATCGTCTATCTCCGGCTAGGTGCCCACACTTATCTGGAGTCTATCGTTGTGGATAAAATACTGTGAACTCTGATGCAGAGTTTGCAGGTTCGAGTCCTGCAGTGGACCGATATATATATATACCTACATACATTTATATATATATATATATATATATATATATATATATATATATATAATATATATATATATATATATATATATATATTATATATATAATTATATATATATATATATATATAATATATATATATATATATATATATATATATATATATCAATATATATATATATTATATATATATATATATATATATATATATATATATATATATATATATATATATTTATTTATATATGTATATATATATATATATATATATATATAATATATATTATATATATATATATATTTATATATATATATATATATATATATATTTTTTTATTTTTATTATCACACCGGCCGATTCCCACCAAGGCAGGGTGGCCCGAAAAAGAAAAACTTTCACCATCATTCACTCCATCACTGTCTTGCCAGAAGGGTGCTTTACACTACAGTTTTTAAACTGCAACATTAACACCCCTCCTTCAGAGTGCAGGCACTGTACTTCCCATCTCCAGGACTCAAGTCCGGCCTGCCGGTTTCCCTGAATCCCTTCATAAATGTTACTTTGCTCACACTCTAACAGCACGTCAAGTATTAAAAACCATTTGTCTCCATTCACTCCTGTCAAACACGCTCACGCATGCCTGCTGGAAGTCCAAGCCCCTCGCACACAAAACCTCCTTTACCCCCTCCCTCCAACCCTTCCTAGGCCGACCCCTACCCCGCCTTCCTTCCACTACAGACTGATACACTCTTGAAGTCATTCTGTTTTGCTCCATTCTCTCTACATGTCCGAACCACCTCAACAACCCTTCCTCAGCCCTCTGGACAACAGTTTTGGTAATCCCGCACCTCCTCCTAACTTCCAAACTACGAATTCTCTGCATTATATTCACACCACACATTGCCCTCCAGACATGACATCTCCACTGCCTCCAGCCTTCTCCTCGCTGCAACATTCATCACCCACGCTTCACACCCATATAAGAGCGTTGGTAAAACTATACTCTCATACATTCCCCTCTTTGCCTCCAAGGACAAAGTTCTTTGTCTCCACAGACTCCTAAGTGCACCACTCACTCTTTTTCCCTCATCAATTCTATGATTCACCTCATCTTTCATAGACCCATCCGCTGACACGTCCACTCCCAAATATCTGAATACGTTCACCTCCTCCATACTCTCTCCCTCCAATCTGATATTCAATCTTTCATCACCTAATCTTTTTGTTATCCTCATAACCCTTTAAACTCTTTCCTGTATTCACCTTTAATTTTCTTCTTTTGCACACCCTACCAAATTCATCCACCAATCTCTGCAACTTCTCTTCAGAATCTCCCAAGAGCACAGTGTCATCAGCAAAGAGCAGCTGTGACAACTCCCACTTGTGTGTGATTCTTTATCTTTTAACTCCACGCCTCTTGCCAAGACCCTCGCATTTACTTCTCTTACAACCCCATCTATAAAATATATTAAACAACCACGGTGACATCACACATCCTTGTCTAAGGCCTACTTTTACTGGAAAAAATTTCCCTCTTTCCTACATACTCTAACTTGAGCCTCACTATCCTCGTAAAAACTCTTCACTGCTTTCAGTAACCTACCTCCTACACCATACACTTGCAACATCTGCCACATTGCCCCCCTATCCACCCTGTCATAACGCCTTTTCCAAATCCATAAATGCCACAAAGACCTCTTTAGCCTTATCTAAATACTGTTCACTTATATGTTTCACTGTAAACACCTGGTCCACACACCCCCCTACCTTTCCTAAAGCCTCCTTGTTCATCTGCTATCCTATTCTCCGTCTTACTCTTAATTCTTTCAATTATAACTCTACCCTACACTTTACCAGGTACACTCAACAGACTTATCCCCCTATAATTTTGCACTCTCTTTTATCCCCTTTGCCTTTATACAAAGGAACTATGCATGCTCTCTGCCAATCCCTAGGTACCTTACCCTCTTCCATACATTTATTAAATAATTGCACCAACCACTCCAAAACTATATCCCCACCTGCTTTTAACATTTCTATCTTTATCCCATCAATCCCGGCTGCCTTACCCCCTTTCATTTTTCCTACTGCCTCACGAACTTCCCCCCCACTCACAACTGGCTCTTCCTCACTCCTACAAGATGTTATTCCTCCTTGCCCTATACACGAAATCACAGCTTCCCTATCTTCATCAACATTTAACAATTCCTCAAAATATTCCTTCCATCTTCCCAATACCTCTAACTCTCCATTTAATAACTCTCCTCTCCTATTTTTAACTGACAAATCCATTTGTTCTCTAGGCTTTCTTAACTTGTTAATCTCACTCCAAAACTTTTTCTTATTTTCAACAAAATTTGTTGATAACATCTCACCCACTCTCTCATTTGCTCTCTTTTTACATTGCTTCACCACTCTCTTAACTTCTCTCTTTTTCTCCATATACTCTTCCCTCCTTGCATCACTTCTACTTTGTAAAAACTTCTCATATGCTAACTTTTTCTCCCTTACTACTCTCTTTACATCATTATTCCACCAATCGCTCCTCTTCCCTCCTGCACCCACTTTCCTGTAACCACAAACTTCTGCTGAACACTCTAACACTACATTTTTAAACCTACCCCATACCTCTTCGACCCCATTGCCTATGCTCTCATTAGCCCATCTATCCTCCAATAGCTGTTTATATCTTACCCTAACTGCCTCCTCTTTTAGTTTATAAACCTTCACCTCTCTCTTCCCTGATGCTTCTATTCTCCTTGTATCCCATCTACCTTTTACTCTCAGTGTAGCTACAACTAGAAAGTGATCTGATATATCTGTGGCCCCTCTATAAACATGTACATCCTGAAGTCTACTCAACAGTCTTTTATCTACCAATACATAATCCAACAAACTACTGTCATTTCGCCCTACATCATATCGTGTATACTTATTTATCCTCTTTTTCTTAAAATATGTATTACCTATAACTAAACCCCTTTCTATACAAAGTTCAATCAAAGGGCTCCCATTATCATTTACACCTGGCACCCCAAACTTACCTACCACACCCTCTCTAAAAGTTTCTCCTACTTTAGCATTCAAGTCCCCTACCACAATTACTCTCTCACTTGGTTCAAAGGCTCCTATACATTCACTTAACATCTCCCAAAATCTCTCTCTCTCCTCTGCATTCCTCTCTTCTCCAGGTGCATACACGCTTATTATGACCCACTTCTCGCATCCAACCTTTACTTTAATCCACATAATTCTTGAATTTACACATTCATATTCTCTTTTCTCCTTCCATAACTGATCATTTAACATTACTGCTACCCCTTCCTTTGCTCTAACTCTCTCAGATACTCCAGATTTAATCCCATTTATTTCCCCCCACTGAAACTCTCCTACCCCCTTCAGCTTTGTTTCGCTTAGGGCCAGGACATCCAACTTCTTTTCATTCATAACATCAGCAATCATCTGTTTCTTGTCATCCGCACTACATCCACGCACATTTAAGCAACCCAGTTTTATAAAGTTTTTCTTCTTCTCTTTTTTAGTAATTGTATACAGGAGAAGGGGTTACTAGCCCATTGCTCCCGGCATTTTAGTCGCCTCATACGACACGCATGGCTTACGGAGGAAAGATTCTTTTCCACTTCCCCATGGACAATAGAAGAAATAAAAAAGAACAAGAGCTATTTAGAAAAAGGAGAAAAACCTAGATGTATGTATATATATATATGCATGTGCGTGTCTGTGAAGTGTGACCAAAGTGTAAGTAGGAGTAGCAAGATATCCCTGGCAAATTGTAAGTTATTATCTTAAGGCATTATTGATACAGTATTATTAGTTTTTCATTATTTCAAAACGGTATACATCCTTTGGATTTTCTTGAGAATCATGTTTAACTGATAAAATAAGTTATTAGTTTGGTGTAGTTCAGTCTATTATTGCTCAAGATATTCCTCTAAATTAATTATTAAATTGGCAAATAAGATCCATACGAAGCACAAACAACCCAACGTATCACAACTTTAACAGGATGAGAGAAATAAAAAGAAACAAAAACATTTTAAACCCAAATTGGGAAAACAAAGACGAGGAAGAAAAAAGTCTTCATCCACATTAGGCGTAAGGAATGGTGATTTTTTTTGGCAAGATAAATGGGAACATTTCTCACGACCTGCGAATTAGTTGCATGAAGACCCTCTCATTGGAGGCTTTCGCCATTTAACCAAAATCTTCCGATGCCTTCTCGATACTCTCTTACCATATACTCATAACAATAATGGGTTCTCCACAGACGGCGATACCTAAATAAAAAAAAGTCTCACTCAATCAAGTTGGGTGTTTTCATCCACTGTCTGTAGAGGCTGGTGGCAAGGTGCACACAGTCAGAGTGGCCCAGTCTGCAGATCCAGTTTGTCAACTGAGCATGTTCCTTTTGCATCTTTAGCATGCTCTCCTCATTGTCGAGTTCCAGTGTGATGTAAAGGGGCACCAAAAGCGACAGCGCGTACTTCTGTAGGAAAGAGGCGAGGAAATGATTCGTTTATATTGTTTAGCTAAGATGTAGGTGCAAGTATGCCCGTTTATGTTTGACTTTTTGTAATATATGTATACATATATATATATATATATATATAATATATATATATATATATATATATATATATATATATATATATATATATATATATATATATAAATATATATATATATATATATATGTATGTACATATATATATATATATATATATATATATATATATATATATATATAATATATATATATATATATATATATATATATATATGTATATATATATACATATATATATATATATATATATATATATATATATATATATATATATATATATATATATATATATATATATATATATATATGCACCTGGAGAAGAGAGAAGTGTAGAGGAGAGAGAGAGATCTGGAAATGTTGAGTGAATGCGTGGGAGTTTTGAATCAAGTGTGAGAGTAATGGTGGTTGGGGATTTTAATGCTAAAGTGGGTAAAAATGTTATGGAGGGAGTAGTAGGTAAATTTGGGGTGCCAGAGGTAAATGTAAATGGGGAGCCTTTAATTGAGTTATTTGTAGAAAGAAATTTGGTAATAAGTAATACATATTTTATGAAAAAGAGGATAAATAAATATACAAGGGATGATGTAGCACGTAATGAAAGTAGTTTGTTAGATTATGTATTGGTGGATAAAAGGTTGATGGGTAGGCTACAGGATGTACATGTTTATAGAGGGGCAACTAATATATCGGATCATTATTTAGTTGTAGCTACAGTTAGAGTAAGAGGTAGATGGGAAAAGAGGAAGGTGGCAACACAAGTAAGAGGGAGGTGAAAGTGTATAAACTAAGGGAGGAGGAAGTTCGGGCGAGATATAAGCGACTATTGGCAGAAAGGTGGGCTAGTGCAAAGATGAGTAGTGGAGGGGGTTGAAGAGGGTTGGAATAGTTTTAAAAAATGCAGTATTAGAATGTGGGGCAGAAGTTTGTGGTTATAGGATGGTGGGGGCAGGAGGAAAGAGGAGTGATTGGTGGAATGATGAAGTAAAGGGTGTGATAAAAGAGAAAAAGGTAGCTTATGAGAGGTTTTTACAAAGCAGAAGTGTTATAAGAAGAGCAGAGTATATGGAGAGTAAAAGAAAGGTGAAGAGAGTGGTGAGAGAGTGCAAAAGGAGAGCAGATGAAAGAGTGGGAGAGGCACTGTCAAGAAATTTTAATGAAAATAAGAAAAAATTTTGGAGTGAGTTAAACAAGTTAGGAAAGCCTAGGGAAAGTATGGATTTGTCAGTTAAAAACAGAGTAGGGGAGTTAGTAGATGGGGAGAGGGAGGTATTAGGTAGATGGCGAGAATATTTTGAGGAACTTTTAAATGTTGAGGAAGAAAGGGAGGCGGTGATTTCATGTACTGGCCAGGGAGGTATACCATCTTTTAGGAGTGAAGAAGAGCAGAATGTAAGTGTGGTGGAGGTACGTGAGGCATTACGTAGAATGAAAGGGGGTAAAGCAGCTGGAACTGATGGGATCATGACAGAAATGTTAAAAGCAGGGGGATATAGTGTTGGAGTGGTTGGTACTTTTGTTTAATAAATGTATGAAAGAGGGGAAGGTACCTAGGGATTGGCGGAGAGCATGTATAGTCCCTTTATATAAAGGGAAAGGGGACAAAAGAGATTGTAAAAATTATAGAGGAATAAGTTTACTGAGTATACCAGGAAAAGTATACGGTAGGGTTATAATTGAAAGAATTAGAGGTAAGACAGAATGTAGGATTGCGGATGAGCAGGGAGGCTTCAGAGTGGGTAGGGGATGTGTAGATCAAGCGTTTACATTGAAGCATATATGTGAACAGTATTTAGATAAAGGTAGGGAAGTTTTTATTGCATTTATGGACTTAGAAAAGGCATATGAGGAGCAATGTGGCAGATGTTGCAAGTATATGGAATAGGTGGTAAGTTACTAAATGCTGTAAAGAGCTTTTATGAGGATAGCGAGGCTCAGGTTAGGGTGTGTAGAAGAGAGGGAGACTACTTCCCGGTAAAAGTAGGTCTTAGACAGGGATGTGTAATGTCACCATGGTTGTTTAATATATTTATAGATGGGGTTGTAAAAGAAGTAAATGCTAGGGTGTTCGGGAGAGGGGTGGGATTAAATTATGGGGAATCAAATTCAAAATCGGAACTGACACAGTTATTTTTTGCTGATGATACTGTGCTTATGGGAGATTCTAAAGAAAAATTGCAAAGGTTAGTGGATAAGTTTGAGAATGTGTGTAAAGGTAGAAAGTTGAAAGTGAACATAGAAAAGATTAAGGTGATGAGGGTATCAAATGATTAGATAAAGAAAAATTGGATATCAAATTGGGAGGAGGAGTATGGAAGAAGTGAATGTTTTCAGATACTTGGGAGTTGACGTGTCGGCGGATGGGTTTATGAAGGATGAGGTTAATCATAGAATTGATGAGGGAAAAAAGGTGAGTGGTGCGTTGAGGTATATGTGGAGTCAAAAACGTTATCTATGGAGGCAAAGAAGGGAATGTATGAAAGTATAGTAGTACCAACACTCTTATATGGATGTGAAGCTTGGTGGTAAATGCAGCAGCGGGGAGACGGTTGGAGGCAGTGGAGATGTCCTGTCTAAGGGCAATGTGTGGTGTAAATATTATGCAGAAAATTCGGAGTGTGGAAATTAGGAGAAGGTGTGGAGTTAATAAAAGCATTAGTCAGAGGGCAGAAGAGGGGTTGTTGAGGGGGTTTTTAGTCATTTAGAGAGAATGGATCAAAGTAGAATGACATGGAAAGCATATAAATCTATAGGGGAAGGAAGGAGGGGTAGGGGTCGTCCTCGAAAGGGTTGGAAGAGGGGTAAAGGAGGTTTTGTGGGCAAGGGGCTTGGACTTCCAGCAAGCGTGCATAAGCGTGTTAGATAGGAATGAATGGAGACGAATGATACTTGGACCTGACGATCTGTTGGAGTGTGAGCAGGGTAATATTTAGTGAAGGGGATTCAGGGAAACCGGTTTTTTTCATATAGTCGGACTTCAGTCCTGGAAATGGAATACAATGCCTGCACTTTAAAGGAGGGGTTTGGGATATTGGCAGTTTGGAGGGATATGTTGTGTATCTTTATACGTATATACTTCTAAAACTGTTGTATTCTGAGCACCTCTGCAAAAGCAGTGATAATGTGTGAGTGTGGTGAAAGTGTTGAATGATGATGAAAGTATTTTCTTTTTGGGATTTTGTTTCTTTTTTGGGTCACCCTGCCTCGGTGGGAGACGGCCGACTTGTTGAAATATATATATATATATATATATATAATATATATATAATATATATATATATATAAATATATAATATATATATATATATATATATACAGGGAGGTACTACCGTCCTGCCAAGTGAGTGCAAAACGAAAACCTGTTATTGTTTTACATGATGGTAGGATTGCTGGTGTCTTTTCTCTGTCTCATAAACATACAAGATTTCAGGTACGTCTTGCTACTTCTACTTGCACTTAGGTCACACTACACATGCATGTACAAGCATATATATACACACCCCTCTGGGTTTTCTGCTATTTTTTTTTCTAGTTCTTGTTCTTGTTTATTTCCTCTTATCTCCATGGGGAAGTGGAACAGAATTCTTCCTCCATAAGCCATGCGTGTTGTAAGAGGCGACTAAAATGCCGGGACCAAGGGGCTAGTAACCCCTTCTCCTGTACAAATTACTAACTTTAAAAAAGAGAAACTTTTGTTTTTCTTTTTGGGCCACCCTGCCTTGGTGGGATACGACCGGTTTGTTGAAAGAATATATATATATATATATATATAATATATATATATATATATATATATATATATATATATATATATATATATATATATATATATATATATATATATATTTATTATATATAAATATATATATATATATAATATATATATTATATATCTATATATATATATATATACAGTGGTCCCTCGATTATCGACGGTAATCCGTTCCTGGAAGCCGGTCGATTATCGAAATGGTCGATTTACGAATCAATTTTCCTCATAAGAAATAATGTAAATTCAATTAATCCGTTCCTGACACCCAGAAGTATTAAAACAAAAAAATTTTTTACATGAAATATTCATGTAGTACATAAACAATACAATGGGAAATGATGAATGAAACATTAACAGCATAACACTTACCTTTATTGGAGATTCTTCTTAGTGTATGGAGACTGGAGGAGGAGGAGAGAGTGGATTGTTTATAGTTTGGAAGGGGAATCCCCTTCCAGCAACACCTCAGGTACCATTTGCTTTTCTGGGGTTGCTTCTTTTCTCTGTTTCTTAATGCCACTAGGACCAGCTGAGAGTCACTGGAGTCCTGTCTCGCAAAATAACTGTGCAGAGAGCTCTGTTTCTGGCGTCTCTTTAAAACTTCCCTAAAATGGGCCAAGACTCTGTCACTGTACAAGTTGCCGATATGGCTTGCAACATCCTTCTCTGGGTGATGTTTCTCCATAAATCTTTCCATCTTACCCCACATAGTAAAAATCTCCTTAATTTCTGAAGAAGGCACCTTCTTCTATCTCTCTTCCTCCTCCTCTGCAGCAAGATTCTGAGCTGCGATCTGTTGCTCTTCCTGCTGAAGCTCTTGCAGCTCCTCAGTGGTTAGCTCTTCGTTGTGGTCCTCCACCAACTCTTCCACATCCTCCAAACTCACATCCAACCCCATGGAACTATCCAGTGCCACAATAGAGTTCAAAACTGACATAGGCTCATCAGGGTCAGCCCCAAACCCTTCCAAATCCCTCTTGTCGACACAATCTGGCCACAATTTTCTCCAAGCAGAGTTCAAAGTCCTGGTAGACACTCCCTCCCAAGCCTTACCTATAAGGCTTACACAATGGAAAATACTGAAATGTTCTTTCCAAAAATCTCGTAGGGTCAAGTGAGTGTCTGAGGTCACATTGAAGCACCTTTCAAA